GACTGTCGGGTCCTGTCATTGGTTTCTATTGTCTCGACTTATTTCCAATGAATTCCTATGAGTTCTCACAACTAATCCTCATATCTGTCGCCAATTATCTCTTTATTGTCGCTTTATTTCAATAAATTATTATTAACTTGTATTACGTATAGATTTTATTTAAATCTTAAAAGTGCTAGCTTACTCTAAATGAAACTCATATTTTAATATCTGTGTAAATATTTGTAATTTAAAATCAATTTATTTTGACTTTTATATAATTTTCTGTAATTTCTAAATTATTATTGTATTTTGAATTCGGTTTCTAATAATGTAAATCTAAATTTGGTTTCACAATAATGCTAATTATACCATTAGTGCTGTATTTCATATTAAAGTTTTTTAGATATTTTAAGGATATTATCGATTTTATTGCATAAATTTGTTATAATATAATACTAATATGAAATTATTATATTAGTGAAAAACAATACAACTGTATAATTGTGATGTAATTAATCAATGAATTCCATTGTCTCGACTTATTTGCCGTCAATTGCTATGAGTTCTCACAACTCATCCTCATCTGTGTCCTTAACTATCTCTTTATTGTCGGTTTATTTCGATAAATTAATATTACACTGTATTATAAAATTAAAAGTAAAACTTGTTTAAATTTTAAAAATGCTAGCTTACTATAAAGTAAACTCGTATATTTAATATGTGAGTGGAAGAAATATAAAATAAATATTGAGAATTATTCCCTGAAACTTACATATTACCATAAATAAGATTGATTATGAGTATAGATTACAAGTTTAGAAAATATTGCTATACACGATTCATTATATTATTATATAGTATATGAGGCAAGATAATATGAATAATACTTTTGTAAAATCTTCATTAAATACATGATAATGATTATGAATCAGGGTAAAATAATAAATAACATGAAATAATTTATCATAAGAATTAATGATTTTATTTACAGTGTGTTTCACCATGGACCTCCGCCTTTTAATTGGTATATCTCAAAAACTAAATTAGATAGCAAGGTACTCTCGACGGTTTCTAAAACTAGAAAGTATAGCAAATTTTTTGACCTACTGATCACCCAGGTGCGACTTATATTAATGTTATTTCTACGGACACTCTTGCAGACATGAGTTACAGTATGAACAAAATGAGCAAGGTAAATACAATCTATAGCAATTTTATAGAAGAAGGTATGAACTTTCATATGGCATCGAGATCTCTCAGCTCCAACATATGGTTCAGTCACAAATAACTTTTGAAAATCAAGAATCTCTATGGAGATCTCAATGGGAAATTTTCAATCAATAATTAATAACAATAAAATGGTAGCTTGGTAAAAGTGTTCAATAGCTCAAAGAGAGAGAATTTAATTATATTTCAAATGGTGTATCATTCGTTAAGATCNATGTCTGCAAGAGTGTCCGTAGAAATAACATTAATATAAGTCGCACCTGGGTGATCAGTAGGTCAAAAAATTTGCTATACTTTCTAGTTTTAGAAACCGTCGAGAGTACCTTGCTATCTAATTTAGTTTTTGAGATATACCAATTAAAAGGCGGAGGTCCATGGTGAAACACACTGTATTATGAAAAGGAAATATTGACAAATGGTGTATACAAAACAATAATTTAGTAATGTGTGTGACCTCCCTGAGCTGTGATTACCTCCGCCATTCTTCTGGGCATTGAATTCAACAAATCAATGAAATATTGTCGCCATTGAGGGCCTTTCATCGTGTTGTGAGCCCTTAACACCGCTTCCCACAACTGATCCTCTGACTAAATGGCCTGGCGCTCAGTGCGAACCAAATTTTTAATCATTGCGCCAACATTTTCACACGCATTTAGATCAGGGCTGAGGCTGATTTAAAAATAATTTTAAAATATAAATAATACATAATACATTTATTCTAATTATACCCTGGATGTGGTAGAACGAAGTGCTCGATGGGACCGATGTTCTCGTTAATCCAATCCCTGACTAAATTTGATTTGTGAACGGGATGATTGTCATGCAATAAATGCACGTTCCCGTCATCAAAATGCCGATCAATTTCAGGGAGAATTGAATTTTCCAAAAAGTCTTCATAAGACTCTTTTGTCAAACGATTGAGTCGATAAATGGGGCCAATGCCGTGGAAACTGAAACTAATATAAAAAATTAACAAATATATTAAATATCAATTACCACGCAATGAATGAAACACTGAATCGTTGTGTTCTCTGAATTAATCGGATGTTTCGCTCATCATATCGAGTGCCTCGCGTACGCCAAACCCAAACACGACCGCTTTCTCCAGTAGAGATCCCAAACTCATCAATGAATATGACACGAGACCAGTCCACAAGTGTCCAGTTAACAAACTGTTCGGCATAAATGAGTCGTCTTTCCTTATGGAAATCTCGCAGCCGTTCTTTGATGGCTGCAACACGATGTCTGACACCTTAAGATACAAATAATTAATAACTATTTTTAAAATTATACAATAAATTTACCCTGATCACTCAATCGCCTTCTAAGGGTACGCCCACTTGCAGCTGCAATGTTTGCATTGCCTTGAATTTCCGGCAGTTGTCTCAATTCATTCAGATTAGCCCAGTTGTTGGCCATTGCGGCGTCACTGAGTGATTGGTCGTTTTCTGGATCTGTGATCTTATCTCGGCCTCCACTTCTTGGGACAGTAATGAACGGCAGTTCCTGGTCATCGATTTTGCACCACTCATAATAGGTGTTTTCACTGATCTCTACAATAAAAAAACATTAATATCATTTAATTATAGATTTTTATAGTATTTATATACCAAGGTTTCGTTGAATCATCCGTTTTGTCGTCTCCTTTGCTCTCAATTTAATAAATTTTCTGAAATTCAACTCACGTTCAATTACAGAGAGAACCATTTCAAATCCAATTTGTTTAAAACTTATTTGAATCAAAACAACAATTCAACGCAATCCAAAACAAATTGTGTAAACAAAAGGATTATCACATAAATGACGTTTGCATGTGAAATTACGTCAAAAAACTCCAATTTGATTTTTCTCGTGCAATTATTATTTTACCCTGGTTCTTAATATTGCAAATAGTATACAGTTTGATTACGTGATTATCCAGCTACATTTTGGTGAAAACAGATTAAAAATCGGATAATCCATTCAAAAACTATTTAACTTTTGCCTACCTTAGATAGATTTGGCCAAAGTATATATATAATCATATCATAATATATAATCATAATCATAATCATAGTAGAATATAATAATAGAATATATATAATCGATGATATTTAATATAAATAATTAATTTTAGGTATAACTCTCGAAATAATATACCAGTGCAAGATATACCAAAGGTATGTGCGTATTTTCAATACATTTTAAAACACTATATCATATGTGTATTTTATATTCAGTTACTATATTTTAATTATTAATGAAAAATCGCACATACCTTTTGTATATCTTGGGAACTGGCAAATTGACCTAAACTTAAATAACTTAATGACCAATAGATTGTTGACCATTGTAAGGATAGGTAAGGTTAGGTTAGGTCAAGGGGAACATTTTACACTGGTCATCTGGTATATTTACCTACTGGTCATTAAGTTATTTATGTTTAGGTCAATTGGTTTTTAGGTCAATAGAGCCGGACCCGTATATCTTGCACTAATATGATAGTTTACAGGTTATATTGATTAAATAATTTAATCTAACTTACTGTACATTACATGTAATGCGCCAGTCATAATTTATTGATATGACATTTAAAATACTTCAAACTTATATTAACAATAACATATTGATTTTCAAAAATATTCATAGAAAAACTTAAAAATAATTGCACGCGATTTAATAATTATAATTTATAGTTTATTTCGTTTCATTATTTCATTTTTTAAATATATTATTATTGTTCAGATGAAGTTTGCTTAATTTTATAACTACAGTACAATTATTAGTAATAAAAAAAATATATTTTAAAAATGTCAATTTTATATTATTCACATGGATATTGTTCATTTTTTAAATATATTATTATTGTTCAGATGAAGTTTGCTTAATTTTATAACTACAGTACAATTATTAGTAATAAAAAAAATATATTTTAAAAATGTCAATTTTATATTATTCACATGGATATTGTATGTAAAATGAATTGATATATCGATTTTCAATTACAAATATGCCATAGAGTATAGAAGTTATATATTGAATGCAATACATAGGATACAACTTTCTTAGGACTATATCACAACTGAATTAGAAACTGCTAGTATTACCTGTTTGATAATTATTTTCAAATATACTATTATTTAAACATTACTAGAGTATTATTATATTAATATTTTACAAAATTTAAAATGAATTCAAATAATTATTTCCACCGACCGGCTAACAAGAAATTGTCAAAGTTTACAATATATTTGATGAATAAAATATTTGCCGTTAAACTTGAGAATTGGTACGACCCTGGTCATGCCATAACACTATTGGAAAAGTGGTGTAAAAACACGTATTTCTTGATTTGTGTGGATTTCGATGAATACGAGTCCGGATTCAAGAGTAGTAAACGTTTAGTCGTCAAAATGTTTATCAACATTGTAACATTTATATTTGTGATCAGATGTTTAATCGTTGCAATAATATCACCTAGTACCAATAGTACCAATAAGCTACGGTTTCAGAGGTTATTGTGTGACCCGACGTATATGTTGGGAAATTCACGACTCATTGGTTCGTTAGGGTTTTTAGCCTTTATGTTTGTAATTATAATAAGCATGGTCTTATGTATCTATGAATATACAAACAGATTATACACTTTGAATGTATTCAATGATATGAAACACAAACGATCTGTTTTACCCATTAGTTACAGAAATGCTCAGAAAGTTAACCTACTATTTAATATTTATATGAATTTATTTACCACTCCATTACTCTATGTATTAACAAGTTACAGTAAAGGTCCTTTAAGAGCAACTCGTATTTGCCAGAAAAATTTGTTGCCTATAAAGGAATTTGCTTATATGAGACTAAACATTTATTTTTATTAATAATATATATAATACAGTTTTAAAGCAAATAATCATTGATATTAGCCTGTTTAGCATTTAATTTGACTAAATATGCTTAACTCAATATTTGGTGCCAAAAGGTATGGCCTTTCTGTGATTTTTGCAGACATTTTCTATAATTTTGAAATACCTTATAATTGGATATACAGTAGAATAGGAAGCTGGTAACCCTTGTCCGACCCGACCCTTAAAGTTTCGGACGGGAACGGGCTTGACTATAAATGGCCGGACCGGGAAAGGGTTTCCCGATATATAAATCAAAACCCTTAAAAAGCTCAAACCTTTAAATTTCTCTTACATTATTTATGTTCACTCAACTCAAACCACAAAATGTCGATAAATTATTGTTTATTCATTATGATTATCAAACATTATCAAACAATTATGATTTTTGTAAACCTTTAAAACATTATATGACCATGTTTATTGTAAATTGCAGTAAAAGTTAATTTAATGTGAAACTTATTGTGATTTTGCAGTTTAATATTTTAAGGGTTTTTTTGTGTTCCCACGGGTTTACCGGAAAAGAGTCGGGCAGGTCGGGCTTCCCGATTTGAAATACACAAAGGGTTCGGGTCGGGTCGGGTTTCAAAAATTGGACCTTAATATACAGTAACAGTCAAGTGGTGTCTGTCTTAAGGCATATAAATCTATGTGTGTCCACTGGTTATCACTTGTTCACTTGTTAAGTACTAAATCAACCCAAACACTAATCAATTTATAAACACATGGCAAACATAAAACATGTATACTTTGTATGTAAAACAATAACATTTTACCTACTCGTATTCATCGAAATCCACGCAAATCGTAAAATACGTGTTTTTACACCACTTTTCCAATAGTGATATGGCATGACCAGGGTCGTACCAGTTCTCTAGTTTAATAGTAAATATTTTATTCATCAAATATATTACAATTGTTGACAATTTGGTTTTAGACTTTCGGTAGAAATAATCATTTGAATTCATTTTAAAGTTTATATAATTTGAATGATAATACTATAGTAAATAATATTATATTTGAAAATAATTATCAAACAGGTAATACTAGTAGTTTAGTGATACATAAACTTCACTTGTGATATAGCCTCCGAAAGGTGTATTGCAATCAATGTATAGCTTCTATGGCAGTTGCGATACAAATGATTCAAACCTCTATGGCATAGAGTCTATGCAATATTGCTCAATGTAATTGAAAATCGATATATCAATGCATTTTACATACAGTATCCATGTGAATAATATTAAATTGACATTTTTAAATATATTTTTTCTTATTAGTAATAATTGTACTGTACTTATAAAAATAACTAAACTTAATCTTAAGAATACTAATATATTTTTAAAAATTTAATAATAAAATAAAATAAAATATAAATTATAATTATTAAACCTCATGTAATTATTTTATAGTTTTCATATAAATATATGGCAAAATCAATATGTTATTGTTAATCTAAGTTTGAAGTATTCTTAAATGTCATACCAATAAATTATGCCTGGTGCTGTACATGTAATGTACGGTAAGATAGATTTAATTATTTAATCAATATAAGCTGTCAACTATCATATATTATTTCTAGACATATACCTAATCAATCAAAATCAATATAACAATACATTTGACATAGCAATGTGAACAATGATAAATTGGCATTTGTAGATATATTTCTCTTATTATTAATAATTATACTCTACTTGGCCAAAAAATAAGCAAACTTACCACGAACAATGATGATATATAAAAAATAAAATACTTTACTAGTATATAAGAAATAAATTATAATTATTAAATCGCATGCAATTATTTTCAAGTTATCATATGAATATTTTTGAAAATCGATATAATGTTAGTCTCAATGTCAGTTTGAAGTACTCTAAAATGTCACATGTACTAGTACCTATAAATTACGACCGATTCAGTATATTTGATTATTTAATCAATATAAACTGTCGACTATCATAACTTATTCCGAGACCAATACCTAAAATACATTATTTAAGTTATATTAAAGATCATCGATTCTAACAATATATGATGGCTATAATATGATGTGCTAACGATATTTTTGTATATTTCATGTTATTCTAATAAAATTTTTAATTGTAATTGAAAATAGTTAAAAATTGTTTGGACACCTATTACAATGAAAACTGATTTTATTGATCTATATACAATTATAATTACGAGCAATGATTACTATAATCAATATAAGTTTTAAATTAGAGATAATTAAAAACATTAAAAATAGGAGCTTGCATTATAGTAAACTAGCACTTATAAGATTTAAACAATTTTTACATAAGCTTTATAATACAACGTAATATTAATTTATCGAAATAAAGCGACAATAAAGAGATAATTGGCAACAGATATAAGGATTAGTTGTGAGAACTCATAGGAATTGACGGCAAATAAGTCGAGACAATAGAAACCAACGACAATCAGATGTTTTATCATGTGAGGATTAGTTGTGAGAACTCATAGGAATTGACGGCAAATAAGTCGAGACAATAGAAACCAATGACAGGACCCGACAGTCGGCTAATCATTGACTCGATTCTCAATCTCTGTCTATAAGTCAGTGAATTTGTGGTTAGTGTTGAACATAACAATGGATAGCATTTGTGAGCGCTTTTCGATACCATTGCCAACAATGAGCTTAGACTGAAAATTAACAAAACAAATATAATAGAGCCAAACAGTGCATATAATTTAAACACTTGACTTGTCTCTCGATTCTGTGATAAATATAATAGTAATAGATAGCAAGGTATTGAAATAATA